TTGCTTGGCCGCCATGATGCGCGTTGGTTCACCTGTTTTATTACATCATGGATAAAACGGCTCCCAAACGAAATTGAATGAAGGCAAGTTTATCAGTTTTGAGATGGTAAAAAAAAATTTTTCACCAAGTTTTAACTGCCTAATGCCATTATTCAGTCCGTAATTGAAAAAAATGTGCATTTTTCGTTTTTATTTCATTTCTCCGCACATTTTCATGCAATATGCATACAAAAATTCATGAATGTAAACGTAGTCAACCTACATCTATTGATGTTTTATCGATCCGCCATAATAATATATACCATTTTAAAAAAATTATTTAAAATTTCAATAATTTTTTTCTCGAGTTAAAAAATAAAGCCCTCTGGGAAAAATTTTAGAAGATGTGTGTTCTAACAATTTATATTGTCAATTTTTTTCATTTTTTCAAGGTTCCAAAAAAATGCGCCATTTTTAAAATAAAAACCCCATTTTTACTCTATTTTTTTGGAATTTGCAAGCATTTTCGTATGACTATTTTTGTGTCTTAATAATCTTTTGAGCATTTGCGTTTGGTAGGTAAAACCTGTAACAGTGCGACCCCGCGTACCGCATTGTTCCTGGCACTCCACCCAGCCGGACGCCACCGCAGTAGCCTGTGGCTGCTGCAATGATGAGAACAATATGTCCGATAAGAAATCAAGCATAATTTCAGGTGACAGTAAGCGTTCGTTGCTCCCGCCAAAGAGTTCCGAGCGCGACCGAGTACCCCCGCTTGGCATCTTCCCCGAGGTTCGAGGAGCCGACCGGCGGGAATTATTGAGTACCGCTGAAACAATTCGAGCGGGAGCAACAATCAGGGCCTCTTTCACCAACCTCCGGTTAAGCTAATCGACGATTACGGTAGTGCCAACGTAATAAAACGAATCAGTCGTATCGGTTGTAACAGAGCACCTTAACCTAATATTCCTGTCGTGTTATTTTAGGCAAAGTATCCAGTGTAAATGGAAATTATTAAAAAGTCGATTTAAATAACATTTTTAAGATACATATTCAATGTGAGAAAATTACATTACGTATTGATGTAAAAATAGTGCTTCATGTAAAAATGGATGAAGTTATTAATTTTTTACTTTTTGATGAATATAATGATATAAACTTGAATAATGTTGAAAGAAATGAAAGAAGGCCATGTGTAATCAGACCAAGAATTAATTATATGGAATTATTTGATGAAATAGATTTCCAAAAAAGGTTTAGAATATCTAAAAAAAATTTTATGGTGCTATTAGAAAGAATTGAAGGTGAAACCCGCTCCCGGGTTTCCCGCGTGACTAAATCCCGACGGAGACAGAGGATTAGGGAGGCCCGTCAGCTCTTAGACGAAGCCTATCGTGAATTTTTAGCCACCTTGGATAGCACCAATAAAATAAATAATAGTGATAGTCTTACAATTAGTAATAGTCTAGACCCAGTCTCAGCCCCTTCTTCCCCTAGCATCCCTCACTCTTTAAATCTATACCCTTGCTCACCTCCAATTCCTTTCTCTCCACCTGTTTTTTCACCTCCGCTTGCGCTACTCTCCCTTCCACCTCCTCCCCGTTCTCCTTCCCCTGACGCGGAATCCATCGCATCTCTCCTCACCCAACGAATTTTTCCAGACACACCCCCCCTTTTCCGTTGTTCCTCTCCCGCTGACTCAACGTCGAGCGTGGAGTTCTTGGCAGAAATTCCCCCAGCTCGTCCTCAATATTATTATCATCACGGTTATCCCTAAATTCCCTTTTTTCCCAGTTCCAAATTTCCACCGATCATCTCCCCCACAACGCCTTCACCATAACATTCGAAACCGCAGATCCAGACGAAGTCCGAAGTGCCATCACCGGACAACCTCCAGACGCTCATATCCCTGTTTTCCTTCCCTACTCTCTCCATCCTTTCTTAGTCCCGGTA